AATTTGTGGTAAAGTATAAAATGATCTAATTTACAAACATGTATCCGTACCTTATCCGAAGCCATTTTTCGTTTATTTTCCTAATATTTATTGCAATAAATAATATTTTCATAATGAAACGACGGACATATTGTACGCTTTCTCGATTTTGCCGCTTGCTGCTTGCTGTTCGTTCGGTTCAACTTCAACGAACTGCGGCAAAATGTATTTTGCGCCGGAAGTGCGTCATCTAGCTTACATAAAATCCTTAACCAATAGTAACGAATTGCTGCTGCAGCGTGCTGCGCATGAAAATGCACCTTAACGCTTGCACTCGCTGGCGTCGATCGGATGATCCAGTAATTACGAGACAGATACTAGTCCTTTCGAACTCTGTATGTATGTACATACGCTTATGACACTTTAGTGACATCCGTACACGCGTTCGAAGAGATTAATACTTTAATTAATTGTACGATCGAAGCAGCACTCGATGTCACCGATAACTCGAAGTAAAATATGTCCACTCAGCTGAGCGGTTACGTTCAAGTTTCAACGTTCAACTTCGCTAAAAACCTGTTGCGCAGGCGCGCGCACTCCCGAAATTGCCTGGCCCGGCCGCCATGTTGTCTCCCATTGCCCGATCTTAGTTTCACCCCCATTGCTCAGACGCCTGGGGGAGATATTAGAAAGAAGTTCTATATAAACAGATACTTATGTATCTTAGCACTTGCGAGAGAAGCAAGCGTAACTATAGACCTCTGTAGGCTGGTCGACGTAGTGATATTCTTCACAATTCTCCCGTTTTTAAGTAATTAACATAATAATAATTTAATTTTTTTTGTTTTTAATTAATTTCCGGCCTTTCTTCCTTTATTAAACATAACATATCTTCATCATCACTACTACTACTTGTTTCTAATAATTTATCTATAATAAATAATAGTCTTTCTTTATACATTTTGTAATTTTTTGCTGCCTAACTAGTTTTATTTGTCCGTACACCAAACTGCACTGACAAAAATGTCAGTGCAATATTTCTTGCCCTCGTTCGGTTCGTTCGAATACAAATTCAGCACTACACTAGGTCAGTTTTCATTTGCCGAATACGATAATCTAAGCGCATTATACGGTGCGCACATTCCGAATGCGTGGCACCAAAAAAGTTCGCACTCAGTGCGCACTGGTGCGCACTAGTGCAGTCTGTCGAATTCGCCAAGAGATTCACAAAGTGTCACGTGATCGATATTTTTCTCTAATTGGCTGGAGTAATTCGTAGTAGCTGCCATATTGAATTTACTATCAATTTACTCAATAGGTCTGTTCGCGTTGCATGAAATCCCCAAATAATTTTGCACTTAAAGTGAGATAGATGTATATTCGGCTTTAAAAAGAAAGAAAGCGAAGATGGTAAGTGCAAAAAGTGCAAGCAACGCGAACAGACCTAATATCGACTCCTGTCGACTGCTGTCACGGAGTAATAAGAAGGAGATCAAGCTTGAGAATAAATATGGGCTCGAAACACGATTTCGGAAAACCCCATAAAAAATCAAGAAGATGTGATTTTAGCGCCATCGTGGGAAAAGTTGGAAGTATTGACTGTCACGTGACATATATTTCGCTTTCTCTAACCTACTACATTTCGATATGTTTCGATGTATTTTCCGACAGGCGCGCTCGGATCAGTTTTTCTATACAGTGTTTTTCCGATACCGTGTTTCGAGCCCATCTTTTTCATGGCCTACCATGCTTGAGCTTGATCTCCTTCTTATTACTCCGTGATTGCTGTGGAATGAGGTTAGTAAACTCATCCTTCAATGTTTTGTGAATTTTTATCTATTATATTATTTCACACTTTGCATTAAATATTGCATATCTTATGTACAGAATTTACATCCATCACCATGCCAACGAATTGCGCCGCATATCGCTGTAGTAATAACAGCAATAAAGGTTATGCGTGTTTTCAATTTCCGTCAGATGTAATTCTTCGCAAAAAATGGGCAGCCGCTCTTGAAAATAACTTTGTTTGGCGACCCACAGCTTCTCACCGAGTTTGTGAGGTAAGTAATAGGAATTATCTTCATTAATTCATTTCCAGTTGTAAAGAAAATAAGCTTCTGATAGCTAGTATTTTTAAACAATATTTGTACTATTTCTCAATCTTGTAATATTTTTCTATATTTCAGGTACATTTTGATCGAAAGGATATATCGTTTACCGCTGGACGGAAACAATTATGTAAAGGTGCCGTACCACGTTATTTCTGTACGTGTCCGTATAGGACAAATAGGAAGAAATCCACAAAGCAACACGACCATATATATTCTATGAAGCGACTTGAAACTACAGAACGTGTATATTCGCAAGATGCAGCAAAGAAATTACAGGTCCGATCGAATACTTTGCCACATTCTTATGTATTTAATGAACACAATTATTGTGCTGATAAAAGGAATAAAATATATTCATTTGCGCATGCCGATGATTGCCCATTATTGAAGGATCCGATGTTTACAAATAAACAATTACTGACAATTGTTAATATCAAATATGAATAAAAATCAAAATAAATTAAACACGGATATTAGTCATAATAAATTTGATACAAATTCAACACAAGCTACAATGTCCAAGATAGAGGCTTTGCTAACAGACAATGAAAATCTGAAGTTAAATGAAACATGTGTAATTCAAGCCAGCATAAATGCTCTAAATAAATAAAGCCAAAATAAATGCTCTAAATGCTAAACTAAAAGAAATTGTTGCTCAAAATAAAGTTTTAAAGCAACAACTTAAGGAACTCACTCAACAGACTAATAATTCATCAGCTGGGGCAAATTAACATCAAGACCATATAAATATTCTGATGAATTCGTTATAAAAGGACTAAATCTCTGGACTGGATGTGGTACAACCATCGACATATAGTACTGAGTAATATGGTTTCTACGTATATTTTATGTAAGACTAATACTTTGAGTACAGATGTGTCACAGGGCCCTTGATTACATGATTCACTACTACCCAAACATCGTTCTATCTTTCTAGGTCTGTCAACATGGTTTCGAAGCTATACTCCGTCCAGTACTATATGTCGATGGGTACAACCAAATACAATTGGGTTTGTAAAACACTTGGTATTGAGCTTCCTTCACCAAGAACCCTTCAAATGAAAATTCAAAATATTTCATTTAATCCAGGAATGCAAATTTAAAAACTAATCAATATAGGACTCATCATGGTCATAACTAGAATTTGAAATTTATTCTATACTGAAGTTGCAATAGAAACAAGAAGATTATTTCTTTATATTTTTAAAATAAAATCAACTGCGTGTTTTTAATATTATTTAATATTTGTATTTAATATGTGTATTTAAATTTTAAGTTTTAATGTCATAATAAAGTACACAATGTTTAATAATAAAATTTCTTTTACAAAAGTATATTAATGTTATTGTTGAATAACTATAAATAACAGTTTTTTTTACGTAAAATGTAGTTAATGCATTACAAAATTGGAAGTCATAAAAAGAGTCTCAATTTTGGGATATTTCACAGAATTATGAAGAACAATACATTTATTTGAAAAAATTGCAATTATTTATTGTTAAGACATATAACTATCAGTCTTGCGAAATAGATTCTAGTGAATGCTTTACAAAGAAACTTAAAAGAATAAAATAAATTTGAAAAATATATCTCAGATTTATAAACAATATATGTAAACTTAAAAGAATAAAGTAAAGGGTCTAGCAGGATAAGATGGTCCAATCTGCCCCAGCAGGGATTCAAATGAATGAAAGTTTATCCTTTTCTATGTCGAAAAATAATAATTATCAGAAATTTTCAACTCCCTATTCCCAAAATTAAGCTCGCTATAGTAAAAAAACGTGTATTTTCAGTTTTTATTTTCTTATTCCGTAACCATGATAGCAATTTTTACAAAAAAATTTATGTGTGTAAAAAATATTAGAGTTTAACTATGAAAATTTTGTCAAATAATTTGACCTTATAGAAACTTTTTAAAAAATTTAAAAAGAATTCAAAAAATGTTTTCTCGCGTTTAAAAAATAATGCCCTTTTGAAAAAATTCAAGAAGATGTATTTTAGGCCGAACTATATCGTCAATTTTTTTCAGATTTTTAAAAGTGGTGCGCCATAGTAAAAAAAAATAAAAACTGTATTTATTCTCAATTTTTCGCTCAATTTTTATCAAAACGAAACAATTTAGGGGGTTGAATTGTAGGTCTTTTCAAGCTCTACAACTTTCTCATACACAAAATTTCGCTAACTGTTGAGCGAAACTAGTTAGGGCGAAAAACCGCAAAAATAAGCATTTTTTTCTCATTTTATCGGCTCTAACCTGAGAAATATTCATTTTCGGTCAAAGTGTTCTAGAGACAATTTGTAGGACTTGAAATGAGCTTCAAAATTGTCTGATATGTCGTTGTCGTATCTTATGTAGAAGTCGAGATATTACCAAAAAACCGGATCAAACTATTATTTTTTTTTATTTTAAGGTTTTATATAGCTGTATTGAGATGAAAAGTCATTTGGGTGACAAAACCCTTGGGTGCAAAACCCATGCAGCGGAATAGCGTAACGCGGAACGAGAGTAGAACCAATCACGAGATTCTCTAGAAACACGGAATGCTCGTTATTGGTTCTGCTCTCGTTCCGCGTTACGCTATTCCGCTGCATGGGTTTGCACCTTAGAACATATAGGTTTAAGAAACGTATTTCCGGTGTAAGAGAGCTGGAGTATAGACGTAAGCGAAATAAATTATTTTTATTTCTTACTACTACTTTCAGAGCGCGTCAGCCAGTGTTACAAATAGGTTAAAAATTATTATAGTGACACGATGACACCCATGGTAGAAATACAAGGGTATGCTCTTGCGCATATAGGGACCACGTGACCATTACGTCACACAGAACCAACATACGTCATCGATAAGCGATAAATTTGAACGAATAAATATTATATGTAATATGAAACATCGTTTAATTAGATATATAACATTGTTTAATTAAATATAATCGTTTAAATAAGCATATTTTTATTATATTTCAAATTATGTGTAATATTTTATTATTATTATAAGCGTTATTATTTTAATAAATAAATTAATTTACTTATTTAATTAATAATTAAAATGTAATTGATAATAAGTACTATGAGTACTATAATAATAAAAAATACAATGATAAATTAATCATTAAATTATGTTATAATGTTGTTTTATTATTTTATGCATTGGTACGAAATACTTTGACATTATTGAAATAAAAATTATGTTAAATAAAAGTATTTTATACAATACTAATTGATAAAGAAACTATGAAATGAAAAATTATTAACATTAAATTATTTTCTATAGTATATTTTATATATATATGGTAATATTGTATTGAATACATGAATTCCTTTGCTGAATTCAAACATGAGTAATTTACTTAGAAATTTTGAAATATAATTAGATAATCGTAATTAAGTAAAACATTTTGAATAAATAAATAAATAAATGTTATTTAGAAAAAGAAACAACTGATACATAGTATAATTTGCATACCACATGAAAACATACAAAGGTAAATTTCTAAGAACAATTTTTTATTAAAAATAGAAATATAATTTCCTTATGATAGATAATTCTATAATGT